TAACACTATCTGATGATACATTACATATATGTATAAAAATCGACATATTTGAAGGAAAATAAAGAATAAAATATATTTAATTTTGATTATACCAGATAAATTGCAACAATAAAATTATCGTTCATTCTGATTTACTCTTTCATATCAATTATAAAATTTTCCTATCAATATTAACCACACCCCTTAGCTCTTATTTAAAGTTTTGCTCAATGCAGTTAAAATATTTTAAATTATAAGGATTTTAGTGATCGAGTTAGACAAGAATTAAAAATATATATTTAAGTAATAAAATAATCATATATATCACAATTTTAAATATATATATTTCGGTGAAAGTTAATTGTATAGAAAAAACATTTGAATATTATTTCAACAAGAAAATAAATTATATTAAATTAATTTAATGTATATTATTATAGAAAGTTAATATATAAAATTTATATTTTATTAACTTATATCTGCAAAACAATATCAAAAAGATAAATAATATTCCTACAAATTTGGCTCAATATTTTTATGAGAGATGGGCATGTGCCCCCCCTTCACCCTAATTACTCTCTCAAAAGAATCTCAGCGTTATTGCTTATGGAGGTATGAAGCGCATTGCTCTTGATATTTTTAAATTTTCAAATCGGAAAACGTAATATGGTGTTCGGTCCACTGAAAGATCGAATTATTATTTTATTTTTTTAGGAATTGAATGTACATATCATAACATTTTCTATAGAAATTTATTTTAAAATACATTTTTTGAGTAAAACTGTTTAGTTATTCATTTTTATTCCTCCCCTCGTGTCTTTTTTCACCTAAATATTATATATATCACATGCCTATGTTATAGTTAATTCGGATAAAGTTTCTTTCATTTCACTATTATCAAGTAAATTTGAAAGTCCGGCTAGATGCTCATTTAATGTTGAATAATCCAAATAGTTAACATAAAATAGGAGAAGGTAATAACTTAGATATTTAATTTTACAAGGTATCGTCCTTAAATTTTAATACAAAAATAATAATTTAATATCGCTTATTTTTTTTGTAGAAACTACATTATGAAATAATATTAACTTTATACGAAAATTCGGATTTTAAATATATTTGAGAAGTGGAAATGGGCATATAATTTCCATTATTACACATATAATTTTTAGCTCCATCTATAGTTCATTTGGTGGTGGGGGTACAATATTGAATTTGTGCATTCTCAAAAAAATTACAATCATAAATAAATTTAAGTATGGCTACATTCTTCTCCTACCAAATAATTTTTGGCATGTTTAAAATATTTTGGTAAACTAACTAATTTATTTTACGTATTCATTAATATATATTTTATGATAATACACAAATATATATGGATAGACTGTAATTCGCTATAGAGCACAATAGTAGGAAGAATGGATAAATATTATTTAAAGGTAGTTATAATTCAATAATATTTTTAAAAAATATGGTCAAAAATCGGTAATGGTGTTTAATGATTAAAATATCTGGATAGTAAATATAAAAAAAAAATTTATGATAGATAAATCATTTTTTTAATAGTAAATAACTTATTTCTAAATCTAAAGTCGAAAACAGGTTTTTTACAATAAATATTTTTATTTTTCATAAAAAGACCTTAAATTTTAACAATAAAATAAATATTAATAAAATTTGACGCATAAATAAAAATATTGTAATAAAATATTTAATTTTTAATAGAAAACCCATGTTTTTATTAATTCGCCATAACTTCTCCAACACCCATCCTCATATGTGCTCAGGTTGTAACCCATCCGTGGATATGAAGGTGTTGTAATATTCAGATGATACTTTTAATAGAAAAATGTCTTATTCAAATTAGAAGAATTATTACGATATTATTTAATATTAAAGATTATGTAAACCAAGATTAAAGGAATTATATATATTTGAGATTTTGTGAATATTATGATACTTTTCAATTTTTGCAAAGAATTCTTTTTTATTTTTTAACTTTAATTTTTTATAAGTTTTTACTATAATCTTTTATAATGTTAATTTATTATATTTTTACTATAATTTATTATAATTAATGAAGAATAAAGGAAAATATAAATAATAATAATTTTGTCAATTTTCATATCTTACATTATTTAGTCTATTATCATTTTTATTCAACTATGTTTTTTATCTTCTACAATGATGCTCAAAGCTCTCAAAGGTGGATTCAGCATGCATACACAGACTTTGCATTTGACCTGTAAAATAAGTTTCGGTCAATTGACCGATATTTGACCTGTCAATTAGGTCAAAAAATAAATGTTTTTTATAACACAATATTAACTTTATCTATCATAATAATCCTCAAAAAACGTCAATCAAATTTAACCAATAATGTTCTTTTAAAAAATATTTGCCTAATGATAATCATCATAGCAATTTTAGTCAATAATAATTCCCAAGTGATTTATAATATGGCGAATTTACTCAAGATATTAAATTTAGATATTAATATATTTTTAGATTTCACAAGAATATTTTGAGAAACATGGATTTGCAAACTGCCTTGGCTCATAAGATGGTAAGCATATAAAAATAAAAAGTCCTGCAAAATCTGGAACCCTTGTATTTTAAAATATATATAAATATTATATTTTATGTAGGAACGGGACTATATCGTAAAGGAGTACAATTAACATATATAATATATGATATTCATTAAGCACCTAATGAGAAAGCGAGGTTCATTAAATAATTCCATCTAATTAACACAGGTCCCTATTGTTATGGTTTTTGTTAGATTTGGTAAATAATGAGTATCATATTAATACAATTAATTAAAAAGATAGAGAGGAAGGAGTTAATTAGATATGTGCTTTGGTTCGAGCAGGTTCTATATGAGATGTGAACTATAAATGAAATATGCAATGTAATTGAGATATATAATGTGTGTTTTTTCTTGAAAACAAAAAAGTTTTTTTTTTGTTAAATACCATATTTGGAATTTGTTAATTTTTTTATATTATGTATATTTATAAATCGATACTTGAACGAAAGTTCTTTTTTGTTAATTGTTTATTATATATATTTTTTAAAATATTTATATTAACAATTTTATTATAATGTACATAAAGAAAATGAGTACATTGCAACTTTGTTAAGAAAAAACAAATTATAAACAGAAATCACAAATTATATTTGCTTACATGAATCGATATGGAAATTAGATGGAAATGGTATTTTTTTTATATATAGTTTATTATAATTTGACCACTTAAATTTAAAAGAAAAATACAATTGTGTCATACCTTGAAACTGCAGTTAGGATAAACTCCTTATATATTGATGAATCAGTAACGTTCATTTGAAATATTTTTATTTTTTTTATTGAATTTTATTATGAAACAACATTCTGTATGAAATCATGTCTCAAAATATTATAACTAATTATTCATAAAATATATACCCGAAATTCATTAAGGGTAAGATTTGGAATATATTATTTTATCAATTCCGCATATTTATATTTTAAGTTATATTTAACATAAAAATGAATATTTCAAAGATCGTAAGATTTGAAATTTTCATTTTTATCAATTTCGCATATTTATAATTTAAGTTATATTTAACATGAATATGTCAAACTTCATTTCGTAAGGTATATATTATAAATCAGATTTCAACTGTGCGATTCGATGAATACCATGGACGATAAACAATTTCAAAGTCGATACAATTCAAAGGACGATTTGATAAATAATAAAAAAAGGGGTCAATACCAAAATTACGATAATGGGATGAATCTGAAGATAGATAAATTTCAACTTCCTAGGTACCATCAGTAAATGTACAATAGACTTATGAAGGGTGGGCGTGTTGCAGCTGGTGGAAATGGAAAATTAAATAATATATTATAAGAACCCTCAATATTGCGATATTTTTGTTTTGTATTTTTTATATAAAGCATTCATTGATTGATTCATTCATTTTATTTCATGGATTTATTTATTCATTGATGCATTCTTTTGTTAATATAATTCTTCTTTTGAGATGAATATTTTTGAAGTAAAGAAGAATATTAGAATTAACAGCAATTTTTGTATTATTGAGTGTATATGGTAAAAGACATTTTTACATAAAAAAGGACCTTTTATCTTAGATACAAGTATTCAAGATATTGACCAACTCTGATAGCGACGATAAAAATGAAAATTTTTAATATGTTTTTGATCTAATTTTTACGTCACATAATTCATTTTACTTGAAGGAAATTATAATTTTGGATATTAAATAAATTCTTTCTTGATTTTACTTAAAAATAAATTGTAAATTTTGATAATAAAAAAATTTACTCATCATTTATTTTGAAAATAAATTTATAACTGATGTTTCATAACCGTAGATTGGTCCTTTATTAACCCCTAAAATAAATATAGATGACAGCCTCACTACTACTTCGGTTCGGAAAATTTTATTCCTTCTTCTTCAATTTAATCTAGGATTAAGCTCTAAGACTTCGGTTCTGAAAAACTCGTTCTTTCATTTTAAAATTAATTTAATATTAAAATTTACACAAATACTGCTTGAGAATTCCGTTCCTTCATTTACAATATAATTTATAATGAAATCCGCACTCATACTACAGAGCGGTTCCGTCTCGGTTATAAAATATATGACCTAGGTACAAAGAGTTACGGTCCAACTAAGAATTTAAATAGTTACAGACCCTTTTGATGAAACAAAACTCCCGTTAATACTGGGGTGCGACTATTGTCATATTTAATTACTCGTCTGTGAAGTTTCTTTTTCGTTTTTGTAGCTTTTCACGACAACTAAAATTTCAAAAATCAGGTCCCATAATCCCCACCCCTAAAAATTATGGGCCATCATACTCAGCAGATCCCTCTCCCTCTCACACGTTTGATCAGCCGCTAATTATACATCATTAACTAAAAAATATTTGTATAAGCGTTTGTCAACTCCTATTATAAAAGGGTCAACACATTTCATTCATTTTATTTTCGGATATTCCTGGCATAAAATTGTATGCAGACATGAAAATGAATATCTTACCACCCGAACCACTTTTCACTTTAATAAAGGATATTAAACCTGGATTAAAAAATTTATACGTTAAATTCATCGTCTTAGAAATAGGTCAATATAATTTATTAAATGTTAAAAATTATAAATAAACTAATTATATCAGTTGGAAAGCCAAATATTACCAAGGATGGCCATTCAGTGAAAACTTTTAAGATAGCAGACAAAACTGGAAGTATAAATATATCAGTTTGGGATGAACCTGGAGAGCTTTTACAGGGAGGAGATATAGTTAAACTTCATAAAGGGTTTTTATATTACTCAGATATCTTATCTATTATATGTGTAGGTATACTTCTATTTGGAAGGGTTGCCTGACATTATATGTTGGAAAAGGAGGCGAAATACTTAAAATAGGAGAGTATGTTAATGTTAAATACATAAATTATATAATTTTTTTAATAATAAAGCTGGTTTTATTGCGAATATTTTAATGTTGAATTTTTGCTTAACCATTTTTGAAAATTAGCAATGCCTATAGAATGGAAATTGCATTTTGTTGCAATGCACTATCTTAATGTTTAAGTAAATCATATTTCTACACCACTTTAAAACAGAGTTTGAAATTTTTTTTATAATTTCAGTTTGAAAATTTTAATCATGAAAATTATTTACTTAAATAAGATTTTTTGCAAAAATTATTTGGCATTTTTGGTAAAATTTGATCAAAAATTTTTCCTCTTTAGTAATTTTTTTCAAACTGCTTTAAAATAATTAATTGAGTTCAAAGTTTAGAATCAAATTTTTTTGGATCAATCCAATCCAAATTTGGAAACAGTTTTGCACTAAAAAGGAACTGGGAAATTAGTTTTTTATTTAAATATTTTAATGAAAAAATCTTATAAATACTACTTTAATTTTCACTTATTAAACTTCCAAAATAAGCTTAAATAATATTTCAAAGGTATTTGTAATAAAATTGTTAAGTGATTTGTAGCATAATCTTTAGCTAATTATTGGTATCTATGCCCTGACCATTTATTCATTATATTTATTTCCCTTTTAAACAATTTGTAAATGATTTTAAACAAAATTTTAAAAATTCTAGGTTAGGCTGTAAAAGGATCAGAAATACAAATCTGCTCTAGGTGAGAAAAATTCATGGACACATGGCCTGTTGTAGTTGGCCCAAATTGGCTTAGGGAAGACCACTGGAAATAGCTACATATATTATGGGCTCAATTCAAAATACCCATTATTTGATAATAGTTCAATCAAAAGGTCAGTGGAAATGTTGAAACATATATGGTAATTTGGGAATTCTGGTATCAGATAACAGAGCACCATTTAGATTGAGTGAGTTATAGTTACCACAAATTGAATGTTTTAATGCAGTGTTTCAAAACGCAAAAAAAAAGCAAACGTAAATTGAATCATTAATTATTATTTTTTTTAAATATGAAACATCTAAATTCAAAACAAAAAAAATGCTGTCCAATTTAACTGAATACATTAATGCATTATTTGTGCTTTGAAACAATGCATTGAAATGTTCGATTTGTGTGCACTATTAAGAGCCAGATAGAGGGGCAAAGCAAGTATTTGCATCACCTCTGGCCAAGCAGAAAGGCATGTATGCACAGTTAAGAAAATAATAAGGCAGAACTTAGAAAACTGCAGAACATCCAGACACCCACATAAATTTCTTAGAAGGAGCAAGTTCAGGAATTTTAAAGCTTTAACGCATGTTCTGGTGTGAAATGGTCATTCCCCTTAAAAATGTAATGTTATTGTTCTAAATTATTATTGCTATTTATAGAACTCTATGAGCTTAAGCTATAAATGAATTTGATGTTTATTCATTATTTGAAACTTGACTGCCCAATTCTGCATTTCTATCAGGATTTATTATTTTTAAAATCATAATAAAAAATAACAGCAATATACAAGGACTAAAAATATTTGGAAATAATTTTAGATTTTGGAGGTTTTTTAAAAATAATATATATATATTAATAATGAAAATATTATACTATTTATATGAAATAAAAGTATATTTTGAGTATGGTAATTGGGAACCTATGGTAAGCTTGTCTTGTATATTTTACTTAAGGCAAACAATAACTTAGCTATTAGTTCATATTTGTAAATTTCATCAGGGGAGAATGAATTAAAATCAGATCTATTTTGGGAAAGAAATCTATCTTCACAAAATGGGCTAACATTGAACATAACTTTTCAGAAATGAAATAGAAATGCATTTAATAGTAATAATTATAGATCAGAAATGTTTCATATAAGTAAAATATGAAACTTGATGTGAATTCCTGTTTCATAGTATTTTAATTTACTATTACTTTTTATTTCAAAAATTATCTAGGTGTTGGCTTCTCTGCTAGACCTAAAATTTAAAATTATGACAAAATATCTAATAAAGCAAAATTGCACATCATCTGAATTTATTATTAAACATTTTAAACTTATAAAGTTTAATAATGTTAGATAAGTAAATATTGAGATTGAAAACTAATAAGAAATATCAAATACAAATTATTCAACAAGGTTAGCAAATAAACATTACAACAAGCATAAATTATATGATTCCACTAGTGACTTAGAACAAGAATACCATATTCTCAAAAAATGTCTTTCTCAGAATGTGTGAAAAGAGGATCGAACTTCAACTTTTAACTCCAGTCAAATAATTATGTGTTACGGCAACTAGGACACTATTGAAAAGGAAGAGATCATACTTATGTTTGACATATCTAAATAAAATTATTTTTATACATGATAAATATGCAATTACATAATTGAGTTTGAATTTATAATTTGTTAAGCCTTTCTCTTTGCAATAAAGATCTAAAATTATGCCGATATTTCTATATATATTTTAATTCAGCTCATTTTAAAGAAATCAAATTAGCAAAGTTATATATTATAAAAAATTAATGACAGTGTGCCAATTGCATCTGTTTTGTTATGTATAATATTATATTCAATAATAAATGATATAATTCAAATTTCTAATTTTTATTGAACAATTATTTTATTTATTAATATCTTAAAATATTATTTTTAAATTAGTTTTAGAAAGATGATTATAATATTTTATGATGATTTATATCATCTTAAACTAAAAATTATTTGTATAAATGTAATAAAACATCTTTTAGATACTTAAAAAAATGATAATTTATTTATTGATAAGTTTTTTACCACATAGTGACACTTTAAAATGCATTAAAACACAATTTGAGGTTGGGTCAGCCTAAATTTGGGCATTAGGTCAGTATTAGAAAATCTCTTGTGGTAATTTGGAATAGATAGTGTTAATTTTCTTTACTCAAGCAGGGAAGAAGTAAAAAATTTCAAATAACTTAATTTTGGAACCAATTAAAAGTTTTGGGTAGTAGTTTACTATTACAAAAGTGGAAGTAGAGTTATAATAATCCTAATTTCCTTTACTTCACGAGTAAAGAAAGTACATTTTTTGAAAATAATTCTGCTTTAAATTGTGTAAATGTGCTCACAAATAATGGGAAAAATTAATTATTTTGAATAATGAAAACTGATTTATAGTTAAATCAAATTTTATAATAAAATAAGGATAATAATTATTATCTTAAATTACAGGTTTTGTATGATATTTTCAGAACTTCCCAACATGAGTGAATTTCGTCAAGAATATATCAACATTAATAAACCGGTATACCTTTTATTTAAAAATGTGTTTAAATTTTGGTTAATAGGTTCCATTGGTAGAAAATGTTAGTAATGATTCAATGACCACTTCAATAGGTTATAATTTACATCACCTTTACACGTATAATGGTAAAATCCTTGAAAAATCAATATGAGTTTCAACTCAATCCACTCAGATTTTTTTAAAATTTTTACTAGAGTTAGCATATATTATAACCAAAAATTTAAATTAAGTCTCCAAATACAAACAGCGGCTGAGATACATGACTCTAAAGGTCGAAAAATGGGGCATTTGGGGTAAAATGGACTCCCTTTAATGGATATAATTGAGCTAGAAGCTTCATTTAAAATTTATTATGTAACCTATGTCAGTCCTAATTTTATATAATGTTAAATATTGTTTAAAAATGTAAATGTCAAAAACTGGAAATAGAAAACCTAAAATGGTAATTAAAATCGAATTGGCATGTCTTTTTTCTCTCATTTTTTTAAAATATATAGGTATATAATTAATTAAAAAATAAGCAAAATTTCAAGTTGAGCTGAGCACAGTTTTAGGAGATATGGCATTTTAATCATTTAGTGAATTGTGTAAATTCTTAATATATTTGATAAATCATTAATTATATGTTTAGGTCTAAAACTCTTTAATATTTTGTATATTCAAATAAAAAATTGTAAAAGGTGGGGGAAGGGGGTATTGTTATTTTATATAATATATATACATCTTTTCATAAAATTTTTATTTTTTTTAAACAGTAGATTACAATCCAAATTTGGACAAACATAGGCTCTAAGAATTATACTTCCTTGGATGATTAACCAAAATAAATCTTAAAAATATAAAAATTTGCAGTATATGTTGTAAAATATTACATGCTTCAACCAGTATAATATTTCCTTCAACATTCTATGCTGCCCTTAAACATATAAATGATTCATTGCCATTAATGGGTGAGACATCATTTAAGAAGAAATGCTTAAGAGGGAAAAAAGATATATTAGAATAAAATTGAGAAAGATATTGTAAAAATTTCTTCAGTAGATAGGACCTTAAAAACAAGAAGAATTTTATGCGACTGAATTCATGGCAAGAATAACAAAAAAATTGGCCAAGAAAAAGGGTGTTTTATATAATCCAAATAATACTGGGAGCTTTTTTTAAAGATTATAATAAAGATATTATTGGAAAATTTTATAATTCCGATTAAAATAGTCCTATGGCTGATAAAAAACTTTTTTATATCAATAAAGGTTAATGGAGAGATGTGCCAATTGAAGAAAATACTCATTTTATGCAATCTTAAGGATTTGTATTCTAATTTTAAAGAAACTCATGTTGATACAGGAGTAAGCTGTAGCAAATTTGCGTTTTTAAGACGAATTTTATATATATTTATTTTAAACTAAAATATTTGATTTTTTTAAAAAAATCAAAATTTATTAAAAATGTTATTTTTCTAATGATGCAGTAACTTGATATAAGTATAAAAAGTCATAATATAAGCCATCATGAACTTGTTTTTGGAATCAAAGCGAATGGCATCTCTACTTAATAGACCTTGACAAACATTACCAAAAGGTTTGTTAGCAAGAGCTAGTCTTCATCCTTATTAGAATCAAATGTTAAGCAACTTAGATTTATTTAATTTTTGCTAAGTAAATATCACTGGAATTTTCGCATATGGATGATAAATATGGAAAAGTTATCTAGTTCCAAAGGTTAAACCTATTTCTGAAATATAAAAGTTTCATGCTTTTATGCTTAGGAAAAATTAAAGTTAAATTATATTCATATTGTGAAAATGATTCAATTTACAATAATTTAAAAAAATTAAAATTTTATCTTCAATTACAAAGATATTTATAATTAAATGGAGTGCATTTTGCCAAAAATGCCCAATTTTCCTTTAGTGGTCCCTTTCTCAGCCGCTGTTTGATGTTATACACTAAAAAAATTTTCTTTCTTAATTATAATATATTCAAACCTTGTAAAAAATTAAGAAAGGTCGGGTGTTTTTTTTTGTTGATTTGTCATGAAATTCACCATATATATTGTTTATATTTTCTCATTTTATAATATAATTTGTGAAATTTCATTTTATAATTTATCACGGCCATATTTTCAAAAGGTAGCGCAGTATCACCAATTTTTTTATGCTACATTGACTGAGGATTATAATGTTTTTCTTCAACTTTCAAAAAAACAATTGTTAAATTTTCAAAAAGGATAAATATAGACTTCTCCTCCTTTATATTTTATTTAACTATCATACTCTTCATAATTTGATCATTATTTTCTCATAAGCCTAGAAGGATATATATTATAACATTTTAGTTTAGATATGATTATTAAGAGCGCCATTATTATTCTGGCTTAATTTCATTTGTGTCTCAGGTTTAAGACATTTAAAATATGGTAGATCAGTATTTATATTGGATTTATATTTAAAAAAATGTAAATTAATTTTTATATTTATCTTAGTAAATGTCTCATTATTATTAAATTATTTGACAAAATATCGAGAATAATGAATCTTTCTTTTAACAACCATCTTCATCTTCAGACCCATACCAAGAACGCAAATGTTGTATCCAGTCTCTTAAAAACGTCTCTACATCTTCATCATACTAATACCAGGCGCGCAAAAGCTTACAATAAGCTGGTACCCCTATCCTCCACCATAATAATAAGTCAATTGTCGTCGGTAATAGTATCTTGTCGGTAGTAGTTTTTTTATTAAAATGTATTTTTGTATGTAACATTTCAATTTAAAGTTTTTTATTTATTATTGTCGTAAACGTGATTATAATTGTCCATTTAAAGCTTACTGTTTAAGGCATTATGTTATATTTGGACTTGTTATTATATTATAAATAATATTTTATTTCATTTTATAATAATGTTTATTTTATAAATCATGGTTAAAGGCTTTAATTTAATTGGATATGTTATAATGAAATATATATATTATTTCATAAAAAAAGATTATTATATAATTTATATATTATCGCATAGTTAAATAGTTTACAATAAAAGACTTTTCCCTTGTTTTTAAAGATAAAAACTTTACTTAAACGAAGAATTTATTTTAGTTTTCCCAAATAAAGACTTTATTTACATTCTTATTTCGACCAAATCTCAGTTCAAGACCCTAGCCAGAGCTTTTTAAAATTGACTTTGGTTTATAAGCTACAGCAATGTCGAAAGTAGCTATAACTAAGCCATTACCCATCTATAATCACTACAAAAAATATAGCGTGATATTTTAACAACTGCACCATAATCCTGGGAAGGGAAAGGGGATAACAATTTTTTTAATGAATATATATATTTAATAGCTAGTTTTTTGATATTTTTTATTGATATGATAAACATAAACAATAGTTGCGAGTAACACCAATATCCTTACATCGAATAATTCGTTAGAAAACCAACAAATCATCGATAACAATAATAATGGCGTGATTGTTGAAACATTTATATCTTCTAACACGACCCTCACCTCTACAACTCTAATCAACATCGGTTCCAAGAATGTAAGAAACCTTACTCCTATATTTATATCATTTAATATAATTATCTCACCAAGGACAGTCAAATAATGAAATTAAATATTATCTACAAAAGCTTCTCACATCAATTGCAGGAGGATCTGATTTGAAGGATAATGGGGCCAACGATAATTCTGTCAAAAAAATAGAAACGAATTCCACTCACAGCAGCAAAGACAGAATACGCACTAAAAATGATTCCTCTAACACTCAAAGGAAGGAGAATAATGATAAACACACGCATAAAATTAAGAAGTAAAATAAATTATCATACTTTTGCAATGTTATTGAATGTTCCCTTTTTATTTTTAGGATTAAAAAGTCCTGATTCTTGATCTGAATAGTGTTAAAATTATTTTCTATTATGAGTTACAACTTACAAGCTACAGTGACACAAATGACTGCAAAAAATTCTATAGTGATAAAGTATTTGGAATATGTGTTTTATTACAAGTTTGTGTGCCGACGATGACCTTCTTTTTTCTAAAATTAATTTTATATTATTTCCAAAATGCAACGAATTTCTTATTGTGAATATCATTTTGTATTTTTCGTGTCTATATATAGTAATATTCGATTAAAATAAATGCCTATTTATTTATAAATTGAGAGTATTTTTAAATTTATTTATATTATGTGATGGGCATTTTTAGATTTAAAATTCAATTGCTGAAAACATACGATTTTTATATTTATTACTATTAGGGAGAAAAACTATTGAAAAATAATTTTATTTAAAAATAGTTGTTTGGAAAGGATTAGAAATCAGGGCTTTTTCTTTCTGATAAAATTTATGTTAATAAAATTTAAAATGCTCTTATTATTCTTTTAAAGTATAATAGTTATGAGGTACCTAGTATCAATCAAAATCATTATTATTGCGTTGTATCATATATAATTCTCTATTATGTTAAGGAAGGAAATATATATCAGTTATTTAAAAAAACAGAGTAAAAGCTATTATAATTACGCTGTAGGTTGTCAAAAAATTAAAAATTATATAAAAATTTTTTTGTAATGAAATCTTCTAAAATATCCACCTTCTACTAAATCCATTGGCGTACGCAGCGGGGAGGGGCAAATCCCCCCCCCCCCCAAGCCAAAAAATGCAGATGCCGGATATATTTTTCAAAAATATTTTTGTTTAGAGTGTTGTGCAGATTTAATTTAAAACATTTCCATATTTTTTAATTCGTTTGTAAATAAAAATTTTAACTTGTAAAAATTGATAAGAATATATAAATATGTTATTTTAACAACTTTTTATAAGTTAAATAATTTTATTTTCAAATAAATTAATAAATATGGAAATGTTTTAATTTAAATTTACACAGTACTATATTAATTTATATTTGTTAATATTTATTCCTATCTCATATTAAATATATATTTAATTACATTTATTATCACATTCATCACTAAGTTTATCAATTAATTTCGATTTCAAGTTTTCCGGTGTAATATTATCTTATTATTTTCAAATTTTTAGTGGCGTAATATTTATCTATTATTTTTAAATTTCTAGTCAAATAATAATTATTCTGAAATTGTCGAACAGGGAGAAAAAAATTGCAACCTTGTCCTACGAGATAGAGTCTCCGCCATCAAGCAGTAACAGCTTTTATAAAGTTAGAAGTGATATTACTGACATATCACAATGGCCTGAAAGAAATTTTTCCTTAGAAGCAAGAAAATTATTGGATTCAATGCTTATTCCAAATTTTTTTTCTCATTAATGTACAACTATTTTATGTATTACTTTTCAAAAACATGATGACTTGATTAAGAAGATGAGAATAGCGAAGAGCATTTTATTAGAATTCAAGGAAATTAGGGCTAATGTTTATGAAGAATTTTATATGTTATTGTTAAGTCAAAAGCAGAGCTATACGTGTTTAATATTTGTCTCACTCGACTTGCAGGCTCATAGTTAAAACATTAGTATAGGATCAGTAGAAGAGTATATCTTAGATACAAATACATTTATAAACCAAATAAATGAATGGTTTTTAATTCATTATGCAGCACTTATCAATCTGTAAATATTTTTCCATAAAAGCCTTCCCAACCTTTTTCAGATGGTGATAGAAAAAAAAATATTTGTTGGATTTTTATCATGAAGATGTTAAAGTATCTTATGATGCCTTATTAGCTGATAACTATGTTTATAAGATTATCTATGGTTGATACAGTCCTAAAAAATGCTATGGATGCTCTGCATTATTTCAAACACATTTTAGATTATATTCCCAATGTATTAAAAGGGTTAATATATATTAGCAACTCTTCCTATAAGTAAACTAATGAGAGAAAATTCTCTTTTTTAAGAAGAATAAAAGAGCCCTGCAGAGGTACCATTTGCAGGGCACGGCCCTGATTTTTTTAAAGATTTTTACGGCTAAGCTTAATTTTCAGGCCCGGCCCGGCCTTTTTTAAAATAAAATTTTCAGGCCCGACCCGGATTTTTTAAAAATAAATTATATTTATTTTTCATTTTTATAGCTAATAATAACGATTTCAAATATAGGCTGTTTTATATACAGTCCGGCTCGAATATTTTTTTAAAAAATTCAGGCTCAGCCCGGGTGTTTATTTTTAAAAATTTCGGGCCCGGCCATACTGTCCAGCCCGGGGGCCGGGCCTGCAGATCTCTGAAAAACATACCAAGAAGTACAACTTTTGAAAGTAGATTGAAAGGTTTGGATCTTTTGATTATTCATAGGCATTTGACAACAAGCAAGGATGAGATAATTGAAAATTAGCTCAATCCCAACGAAGATTAGATTTTACATGTAAATATATAACATACAAAATACAATTATTCCCTAAGCTTTTTGTGTATTAATTTATATTTCTATCATTTAAATTTTTTATACTTTATATATAAATTTTAAAGCTTAAAAAATTCAAATTTCTATTTTGGGTCATTTAAGTGATTCTTTACATATAATTTTTTTATAATTCACATTAATTTAAAATGGTGTATTAGAAATAGTTATTAGTCCTGATAAATTTATGCTTGATATTTTTAAAAAACAATATTTCTTAAAAAATTTTATTATCCCCCCCCCCCCAGACCAAATTCCTGCATACGCGCCTGACTAAATCTAATCTAAAAACTATTTTATTTAAAAATATAACAATGGGAAATAAAAATAGGATTTGCGAATTATAAACCAATAATTTTTTTATTCATAATATAAAATGTATTATTAAAAAATAACTTTTTTATTTTTTAATTATTTAGCCCTATATTTAATAACATAATATACCACCTTTTTCTCGAACCTATATTAAAATTGGTACGGCCTGTGCGAACCCGGTATTGGCCAATACCAATGATACGAATATCAAATATAATTATGTAGCATTTTTATATTCATTGGAAAAGGCGATATAGTTTGACAATATATTATTTATTTATCATTTATAATTAATTTATGAAATAAGGAAATAAAGTATTAACAGTATCATCTTTCCTTTCATGTTTCCTTTTTATTTATTTCTTTCTTCTAGTAATGTTACACTTGGTGAAGTAAATATATTTAACCAGTTACTTATATAAATATTTTTATTTATTTTTTGATTATGTTTTTATTATGGTTAGCAAAATTAGAACTATTGAGTATCTTGAGCCACTTATAAAGTGTAGACTTAATGTCGCTTCATTACAGAAAAAAAATTAATTTAATTATTTTCATCATGCATTTACTTAACATGGTTCAACCTAAAGATAATGGGTCATAATTATACCTATCATATTTGAAGTAAGGCTTTCGGAAGGGGAAAGTTGGGATTAGTAGTCGGAGATAAAGATAAATATTGAAATGTGGCATAAATAGTAACCGGAGCATAGGCGTGACCAATTTTTCTAAGGGAATGTGAAAGCACTATTGGGCTTTCCCCGATAAATTTTATTGAAGGTTTCTAGGTCCACTTATTACAGGCCTTTAAATATGTAGCATTTTTCTAAAATAATTTTCGGTTTTTACTTTTTTTAATATAAAAATGCTATTTTTCAGAAAATTTTGAATAGTCATTTAGAAAAATTATTAGCTCACTTATTTTTCTTTCAAATTATTTTTTATCGGGGTATATTAATTTTGGGAGAGTGGAGATTAGTAGAGAAAAAATTATATAGGCTTAAATTTTGTAACGATCACTAGTAAATTCTTGAATGGAGGAAAGCCCTTTTTCTACCCCTGCTTCCCTACGCCTATGTATAAGAATATATCGTATTGAAATATATGTAATTAATGGGGATTCGGAATTTCTGTTCTTAAATTTACAACTCCTTTTGGTTAAAGTAAAAATTCCTATAAATTTTAGACAATTTTCTCCATAAATATTTTTTAATTTACATATAAAATCTAAATTTTTTTATTAAGTAAGAATAGATAAAAAGTTTACTGCAAAAGTAATTGATATTCATGGTGTGCGTTTTCATATGAGAATACAGAGTTTAGACAAAATTTAACCGAAAATCTTAAAAAATAACTTAGACCAACGCGATAATACAAAGGAAGAAATTCGCTATGACTAAACCAGAAAACAGTGAATCCATAATTCAATTCAGACAAAGATAAAAACATTTAGTTTATTCGGGGATACATCAGATAATTCTCTCGATCAGTTTATTGAAAGAAGATTCACAAATTTTGATATTACGTTACGATTATTATCCACTGATGATATACCCTTTAATCAGGGGCGTCGCTAGCCTTCACACTCTCAGGGGGCTCAACTAAAAAAATTTTTATGGGGGGCTGGCCTTCGGCCCGCTTTTGCCGGGGATTCGGCCAGGTTTTATATAAATATATTATACTTTTTTAAAATTTGTTAACTCTGAACAATTATTCTGATTTTCAAATTTTGTCATTTATTATATTATGCATACAAAATAAACTGGCATATAAAAAATCACACAATGCAATATTATTTAGCAACTTTTATTGATAAAAGGTTATCAAACTAGTATAAATCTCTGTAACCATTTTAGACAATGTTTTATAGAATGGACTAATAAGCAAAAATGTATAGGCCTAAACCAAATCAACAATTTTTGTAGAAACGACCAATCCAAATCATAAAACTATATGATGGTTAGAGCTTCCTCTTAGATGACATTATGGAAGCTAGATAAGTAATCGAGAAAATTATTGTGAGATATTAAATTTCTAAAAGATTATCTTCCATTTTAAATGATATATAAACGACTACACAGTTGACCATTATTGTTTATCTAAAATATGCAATTATATCCTCTCAGCTGTTATAGTAATAATCTTAAATTACATAGCAACATAAATAATAGATGCTGGTTAATTTGCAGTAATAGCCATGACACTCACGATGCAAACTAATATCAGAATTTATTATGTTGGAAATATTGATAAAATAAAAACACTAAAAATCTTTGGAAGAAATAATTAAGCAAATATATTGAAGCCTGGAGTTATTTACACGGCAATGCCATATTAGAAATGAAACATTTTCTAACTATAAGATAAGGACCAGAATGATATGATGATACAATTAAGATTTTATATAATGTATGGAAATATTTTAAATACAAATCTAATTTGCTAAATACCGACCAAAAATTATTTAAATGTAATAAGACCCTTATTATTTAATATATTAATACGGAATCACGTGGTCGAGTCCGGCCTTCTATATATCATCCCCCCAAGGATGGAACCACCAAGTTAGAATAAGAAAAAAAACATGATCATTCCTGGGATTCGAACCCGGGAGCTTAGGATAAGTAAGCCAAGCTCTTGCCTACTAGACCATAGAGGCTTTCCAAAAATCACGATTTTTCAAATATATATTATAAATATATTTGGTAGTGCCTATCCAAATGAAAAATGAACAAAAATTTGATAGATGGTACCTTAAGGTACCAAGCATCATTAACCAATTTATTACATCTATTGCAGGATGAATAATAAAATGTTTAATTTAAAATTATTTATAACTAAATAGATGACGTTAAATACTTGAATGCAATTTGTTATTATATTTATTATCAAAACCATTTATTAGTAAAATTTATTATAATATTAACTAATATATTATATAACGGTCAAATACGTCTATAAAAGTAGCATTATATCTGATATTTTATAAACAACTGTATATAGTAGAGGATTATAAACTATATGTCTACTTACTTTTTATAAAGAAATCTCTTATACTTATTTGGACCTTGAAAATATTTTTAAGGTATGATTTCAAAATAAATATACAGTTGATTAGTCGTTTTGAACTCGACTAATTACAATATTAAATTTGTTAATTTTCAAATAATATATGATTATATTTATTTAATTAGGGTTAAATAATAATTTAAATAATAAAAATCAATAAACATCAACTGTTAAATCTAAATTAATATTTAGTTAGTTATTGATATTATATTTTTAATACAGAATTTGATTGCAAGCTGACATAGTGAAAAGATAATTTATATGTATTAATCTAATCTAATAATTAATATAATATTTATTTAATAAAAATTTAATTAATTTCTAAATAATAAAATTATATCTATATATTACTTAATAGAATTATAAAAGAAATCATTAAGTGGGAGTCAAAAAAATTTATTTTAAGGGGATATTAAGGAGCCATTAAAAAAATTTTTTTGCTTCAGGGGGCTATTCAAATTTTTTAGGGGGCTCGAGCCCCTGCGCCCCCCCTCCCCCTAGCGACGCGACTGCCTTTAATAAGCTTTGGAAATGAGTATGAGTATGAAAAACTTCAGAGTAGAAATAACTCGACTTCAGTCAGCATCAAACAAAACGGAAATATGTCCAATTTGTAAAAACTAAGTTAAAAATTACAATAATTCCATAGATATCTTATAAAAACCCTAATTATTAATTGAATTATCCAATACAATCCAATTCCTGTTTTTCATAAATCACAATCCAATAAGAATATTTTAGGATCAGACGTTATAGTGCGAAATCTGGAAATTTGAAGCCACTGTATTATCGAAATCACTGATCTAAACAGCATCTACATGACAGTATTTTCACTGGATGCAAACCCCCTTCAAAAACATATGCCTACCCCTCTAAAAAATTACCACCGCCTTCGGCGTCTCCATTTTTAATTTTACCTTTTTAATAATAATGATACTCTATCAGAAAATTTAAAAAGAATAACTTAAATTATTTTATCTCTACTACCAACTATCGACATTTCGTCAATATAAAGGAGTTATTTTTTAGATAATAAATTCAATCAAAACCCCCATCATTTACAACGAATTCATTATTATAGCATTATGTGATTGCTGAAAATGTCTAAAGCTTTTAAATTACATTTGTAAAGATAGCAAAAAGTTTTATTTGGAAAATAGTGTCTATGAATGTTTGCAATATATAGATTTGGTTGATGAATTAATAAGTCTAAAATAAAAGTATTAATTTTTACAGCAATAAATTTTGTCCTATTTGATCTCAAAATTTAATAGATAACCCCCCTTCCCCAAGTATCCTATCCCCATTAAAGCCGCCTACCCCCTACACCCCCCCCCCCCCAAAGAATGCAAACTGCTCCTCCCTCCCTCTCCCCGTTCATGTAGACGCCGGATCTAGGTGAGGACCATGGGGTCAAACTATCCCAGAATTATTTGAGAATACGCTTGATAACTTCAGGAATATTAAACTCAATTACATTCTGAATCAGAACTCTATGTACCCTCAATATTTTACAGAATCTAAACCGAAACGTGATATTTTTTTTAAATTTAGGGTTCAGGGCAGGGTTTAATAGCTTTTATTTTAAATATTAATTTTATTTTGAGCAATTACTGATTTTATTTTATTAATGTCATTAAATTAAGCTGATATACACGCTTGAACTATTTTTTGGGTGGTGAAGTTTACTGGTTTTCTCTGTTCTTTTTGATATAATATATTGGGTATAAATGCGTAAATGGCTTCCCTAATTTAAGAAAAAAATATAATATTATTATAACATAAAATTATCATATAAATACTATACTGTAATATGGTTAGTAAAAATTGCAGAGGAGTATGTTAAACCCTATCATTTTTTTGTTTGTACAGGTTTGGCAATCAGTCTCTACATTTTCTTCGTGAAGTGATTTCATTAAAAAAAATCCATCTAAAATTTTAAGATGGATTTGATTCAGGGGAACCCTTTTTTATAATTTCACGATCGTAATTTTTCTTCTAACACTATATTTACTATATTTACTTTAAACTCCCAGCCTTCCTTTTATTATTTTTCACTTCACTTTAATTTATTACTTCACTTTACTTTACACTGCTTTACTATACTTTACCTTATCTTACTTTACCTTACTTATCTTTACTTTACTTAACTTTTACTTTACTTTACTTTTATTTTATTTTAATTTATTTTATTTTATTTTACTTTACTTTTTTTTTACTTTACTTTACTTAATTTACTTTAATTTACTTTAAATTTCTTTTACTTTACTTTACTTTAAATTTCTTTTACTTTACTTTACTTTACTTTACTTCCATTACTTTACTTCTGCTACTACTTCTATTATAATGACCTTATAATTCAATATTAAATTTACAATATTTTCCATGTGAATTAATAAAAACAAAACGTTTTCAAAAACATGTGTTTTCTCGTTTTATTTATATTCTCAAGCATTTATTTTACATTCCAAAGTATAAAAATTATTTAATATTATGAAAGTTTTTATAATAATTTAATTTATGTGAAATTCTTTATTTGGTAATTGTTATATCTTCTTAATATTAATTTACATTATAATATTTTATTTTTTTTATCACAAAATTTTTATATATCAGCTGAACCAAGTTCTGTGATAATACTAAATACTTATAATTTTACTACGGTAGTTAATGATTATGAAGTTGCCTTAATCGAATTTTATGCCCAATGGTAAGTATCATAAGTTTTTGTTTTATATACCAGATTTTATTTTGATCTTTTTATATAGGTGTGGACATTGTAAAGCTCTAACTCCTGAATATGAAATAGTTGCTCAATATTTTTCACATAATTCCAAAATTTTAATAGCTAAATTTGATGCAGATGCTGAGAAGGAAACTTCTTTTGTTCAAAGTTTTGAAATCAATGGCTATCCAACTTTAAAATTTAGGAAGAAAGAATTTCTTGAAAGTCAGGAAGAGGGTAAAAATGATCCCTTAGATGTGGTTTGGCACAATTATGAAGGAGCAAGGACTTCATCAGGTAATTAACAATTAGTATAAAAGATTCTTAATTTCTTCAATTTACACTTAAAGTTATTACTAAGGATTTATAAGATTTAATTTTATTATTTATCTTAATTTTTATTTTTTACACTTTAAGATATAATTTCATATATGAGTAATGTATTACAGCCTGATTGGAAACCAGAAGCAAATCCTGTATTAATATTGACAGATGAAAACTTTGATTCATTTGTTCCAAAATACAAATTGATTCTCATTGAATTTTATGCCCCTTGGTATTTAAATTATATATAATCATAAATAAATTTAATCTTGCATATTTTTTTTTGCTATAATAAAGTGGACACATATAAAGTAATTTTAAAGACTATATAATTTTTAATTTAATTAATATGCCTGATATTGAATTTGGCATAAATGTCCTATAAGACCTAGAGAAAAGTACACTGAGTAAAAAGACATTCAGACAAAAGGACCTGGGACACAAATACCCTAATTTTTGAAAATAATTTTAAATGTTTAAAGAAAAATATTTTTAACTTACCCCCTTTTTAAAGTATTTAATTTTTTTTACTAATTTAGCATATTTTATTCCAATGTATTTTTGTTTTAAGTATTTTACTCAGGCCTTTATGTCTTGGACATTTATGTTAGTGATATTAAATATTGGATTGAATTGGGCCCAATATTTAATGCTACAATTTAAAAAAAAGGGTGAATAGATATTTTCTTCAAAAGAAACTAATTAAATTTTATATTTTTATTGTTTTCATATATAATTTTTCCACTTATAATATATAAATAAAAGAATCAGTATAATTCATCATATTTTAATTACAAATTGAAATATTTTAAAAGAAAGTAGCTAAATGTGAGATTTATATTTTTTACATTATTTGCAACAAGAGAATGTTTTTAAAAAAAATTTAACAAATCAAATTCAGCCAGAAATATTGCCCATATTATAAATAAGATGATTATAATTTTATACCCATGACTAGTGTTGTTAATCGGCTTAGCCGAGTCGGCTCGAACGCAGCTCACCCAAATTTTGGGTCGTTTTTTTCGACTCTAACTCAAAGTTTTGGTCGTTTTTTACGACTTCGACCCGAGTTCAAGCCGAAAAAAATGACTTCGACCCAAAATATGGGTCGTTTTTTTCGACTCCGACCCAAGTCCAAGCCGAAAAAAACGACCTCGACCCAAAATATGGGTCGTTTTTTACGACTCCGACTCAAAATTTGGGTTGTATTTTTCGACTCAAACTTGAAATTTGGGTCGTATTTTTCGACTCAAACTTGAAGTTTGGGTCATATTTTTCGACTCAAACTTGAAGTTTGGGTCGTATTTTTCGACTAAAACTTGAAGTTTGGGTGTATTTTTCGACTAAAACTTGAAGTTTGGGTCGTATTTTTCGACTCAAACTTGAAGTTTGGGTCGTATTTTTCGACTAAAACTTGAAGTTTGGGTGTATTTTTCGACTAAAACTTGAAGTTTGGGTCGTATTTTTCGACTCCAACTCAAAGTTTGGGTCGTTTTTCTGACTCAGACTCAAACATCGGGTCGTTTTATTCAATCCGACTCAAAATATGGATCTTTCTTTTTAAAGACGACTTAAAGTTAGGGTTGCTTTTTTTCACCCTTAACCCAATATCTAGATCATTTTTTTTGACCAAAAGTCAAATAACATTTAGTATATATTAATATTATAGGCGGGAAAGTTACTTAAAGCTTCTTTAAATTATAATGCTCTGGATTAACTATTCATCATAGTTATTTTTTAAAATTTTTAAGTGAAGATGCACCATAGAAAAGAGCCATTTGTTATGATGCTTATTTTTGAACTTTTTTAAATGAAATAGATGAAAATATATATTGTAGACATGTTAAATCAAAATTTCAGTGAAGATGTACCATAGATAAGTGACAATTGTCATAATCGCCATTTTTGAACTTTTTTGAGTTTTTTTAAAGCAAATTGCTAAAAATATATATTCTAAACATGTTGAATTAAAAATTCAGTGAGGATGTATCATAGATAGGTGACAATTGTCATAATCGTTATTTTTGAACTTTTTTCAAATTTTTAAAGCAAATAGCTAAAAATATATATTCTAAACATGTTAAATTTAAAATTTGAGAGGATGTATCATAGATAGGTGACAATTGTCATATCGCTATTTTTGAACTTTTTCAAATTTTTTTAAAGGAAATAGCTAAAAATATATATTCTAAACATGTTGAATTAAAAATTCAGTGAGGATGTATCATAGACAATTGTCATAATCGTTATTTTTGAACTTTTTTCAATTTTTTTAAAGGAAATAGCTAAAATTATATATTCTAAACATGTAAAATAAAAATTCAGTGATGATGTATCATAGATAGGTGACAATTGTCATAATCGCTATTTTTGAACTTTTTCAAATTTTTTTAAAGGAAATAGCTAAAATTATATATTCTAAACATGTAAAATAAAAATTCAGTGATGATGTATCATAGATAGGTGACAATTGTCATAATCGCTATTTTTGAACTTTTTCAAATTTTTTTAAAGGAAATAGCTAAAATTATATATTCTAAACATGTAAAATAAAAATTCAGTGATGATGTATCATAGATAGGTGACAATTGTCATAATCGCTATTTTTGAACTTTTTCAAATTTTTTTAAAGGAAATAGCTAAAATTATATATTCTAAACATGTAAAATAAAAATTCAGTGATGATGTATCATAGATAGGTGACAATTGTCATAATCGCTATTTTTGAACTTTTTCAAATTTTTTTAAAGGAAATAGCTAAAATTATATATTTTAAACATGTTTAATTAAAAATTCAGTGATGATGTATCATAGATAGGTGACAATTGTCATAATCGCTATTTTTGAATTTTTTCAAATTTTTTTAAAGGAAATAGCTAAAATTATATATTCTAAACATGTAAAATAAAAATTCAGTGATGATGTATCATAGATAGGTGACAATTGTCATAATCGCTATTTTTGAACTTTTTCAAATTTTTTTAAAGGAAATAGCTAAAATTATATATTTTAAACATGTTTAATTAAAAATTCAGTGATGATGTATCATAGATAGGTGACAATTGTCATAATCGCTATTTTTGAAATTTTTCAAATTTTTTTAAAGGAAATATCTAAAAATATATATTCTAAACATGTTAAATTAAAAATTCAGTGAAGATATATCATAGATAGGTGACAATTGTCATAATCGCTATTTTTGAACTTTTTCAAATTTTTTTAAAGGAAATAGCTAAAATTATATATTTTAAACATGTTAAATTAAAAATTCAGTGATGATGTATCATAGATAGGTGACAATTGTCATAATCGCTATTTTTGAATTATTTCAAATTTTTTTAAAGGAAATAGCTAAAAATATATATTCTAAACATGTTAAATTAAAAATTCAGTGAGGATGTATCATATAGGTGACAATTGTCATAATCGCTATTTTTGAACTTTTTCAAATTTTTTTAAAGGAAATAGCTAAAAATATATATTCTAAACATGTTAAATTAAAAATTTAAGAGGATGTATCATAGATAGGTGACAATTTTCATAATCGCTATTTTTAACATTTTTTAAAGAAAATAGCTAAAAATATATATTCTAAACATGTTAAATTAAAAATTAAGTTAGGATGTATCATAGATAGGTGACAATTTTCATAATCGCTATTTTTAACATTTTTTAAAGAAAATAGCTAAAAATATATATTCTAAACATGTTAAATTAAAAATTAAGTGAGGATGTATCATAGATACGTGACAATTGTCATAATCGTTATTTTTAAACTTTTTCCAATTTTTTTAAAGCAAATAACTAAAGATATATATCCTAAACATGTTAAATTAAAATATCAGTGAGGATGTATCATAGATAAGGGACAAAAAATGTTATTATATATACGAGTAGTAAGGTACATAATAATTTTTGAGTGATAAAATGAGATGCTAATATATTTCTTGTAATTTTAATTTATAAAAAAATTCTTAAATATGTTATTGTCATAGACTGGGTCAGAAAATCAACTATCACATAAACTCATCTATGTTTTATTCATATTATATTTTTAAGTTTAAGGATATTAAAATATTTCCTCTTTGAAGTTTCTAGTTAGGATAAAATTTACTTGGCACATCTTACAATGATATTTATACCTTGTTTTTTTTTCGAGAATAAATTTTATGCGATATCTCATGAAGGAAATTACATATCATTGTACAGAGAAATAACTTTGTATAAATTATCTGCACCAATATCTTTTATATCAATCTCTATCGATGACATTTTAAATTATATTGGAAACTAGATTGTGTAGATTTCTAAATATTAATTTAAAGGATTAAGATTTTAGAATTAATTATAAATATATCTTAATAATTTTTATATGCATTTAATATTTAAAATCTCTCGTTTTAAGCCTATTTAGCAAGAAAAATATTGACTAATCCTGAAATTACGATAATAGATATCTATACCTTTATATAATCTATGAGAAAAATTGCTCTCATAATATTCTTCTTAATAAAATAGTGAATAATTAACGCCTGAAAAAAAGTATAGCGCTTTATAACATGGTTCAAAGTTAATCCCAGTATCAATTTTAATGTGTAATTTTTCTCAAGTGTTCAAAATTCTAAATCTTAATATCAAAAACTATTTTAGTTATCAATTTAAAGTCAAATAATATTAAAACACTAATATTCTACAGTATTCATAAAAAACAACAGCCTGAAACAAGAATAGTAAGCTCAAAACATCTTAAATATTTGATACATTTATAGTTTAAATATTTTTATTTAAATTATATATATTTATTAATGTACAAAAAATTTAATTTAACAATATATATAGATATAAAAATTATGTATAAAATTTATTATTCATGATATTGATATCCCATGAATTTAAACATAAACACTGTTTAAGTGTTTCGGAGGCCATGCGATTTCTTTTCTTTGTTACGGTGTCCACCCCTCTTGAGAAGACACGCTCGCTCTCAACGGATGTACTTTGCTGCGACAAAAAATCTTTAGCCATCATGCAAAGGTACGGAAAACGCTCAGAATTACAGCTCCACCAATCCAACACTGTAGTCGTTGCTGAGACTACTGGATCAGCTAGGTATTCGGCGATCTCGTTCACCATTGGAACTAACGAGGCTTTCCTAAAAATATAAAATAAATTATTAAAATTAAATATATCAACTTTGAGAAAATTTAAAATAGTTATAGAATATTAAATATA